GCTAATAACAATTAAAAATTTAAGAAGGAAGAACAAAAAAACCGTCTAAAAATTATTTAAAAAAACTTATATAAAAATTTTAACATTTACTTTAAAAAGTTAATAATTAAAATTGTTTAATTTAAAGAAAATCCAGTATTAGAATTAGGGGCTAAAACTAGAAACGTNTAACACTGTTGATTTTTCCGTTTTATATGAATTCCATGTTGTACGAGTCACTTGGATTTTACAAATACGTGAACCGTTCACAGCCCGGCACGCGTATTTGTAAAATCTAAGTGACTCGTACAACATGGAATTCATATAAAACGGAAAAATCAACAGTGTTATAGGGGGGTCGACTGTATTATAAAGTAGACGAAAAAAGAAGCTTAATTGTAAAGTTAGGGAGGAGTTCTATTTAAAAAATTGTAAATGCTAATAACGAGTAAAATCGTTATTAAGTCCGAACCCGCTGGAGATGTGACAAACGACCCCGTATATCTCTCCAACATCTTGACCGTTAACCACCAAAATTTAACATCATTAATCATCCTAACACATAAACCTCCCTGCAAAATTTCGGAAATTTTTGACAAAAGGTACAGGAGTTATTAAGCTTTAAAACAACCCCTTCATTTCTCGAAGTTTCAAGGTCAGGAGTCCAAAAGTATAAAAGTCTTGGGGGTGATTTTTTTTTTACCGTTCCCCTATGTTACATACACATGACACGTAATGTTAAAAATTGCATAAAATAATACTAAATTGTTACGTAAATTAACACGACTTCGTGCAATTTTCAATGCGTAAAATTAAAATGTATGTCACACAATTATTTACTTGTGTTTCACGTAATTTTTACACTGTAAATATTTAAACAAGTGAGAATTTCACATGCCTAGCAACAAGATGTTGACAACTTCACATCAACTTTCTAAAATAAACTTTGTAAGTTATCACTGTTTCTTTCTCCGGGCTATTTGACGTGTTTTCAAAGTTACATAAGGACTTTTAATAAGTTTTATATACAAAAATTCTTTTCTGGAAATAAAAAAAAAAATATCCAATCTATTAATTACATATATTTACAATGTTTACTGACTTAATTTAAGTGTTTTAATTTAAAATAATTGTAATTAAATGTATACATAAGTCTAGAAGCGTAACAGTTACTGTATTTTAAATTATTAATCAAAGAAACTGAAAGATTAGTACGGTATTTATTAATTTACTTATGTTTTAAGTAACATTAAGAATAGAATGCCATATAAATTGGTTTTGTAGTAGAATATTATGATTATTTAAATCATAGTTAATACTAATTTGTAAGTTAATTATGGTATATTTTTAAGGTGATTAAGTGTAACATTTATAAAATTTCTCAGCATACTTTAAACGGATTTTGTGTAATGAAATTACTGAAAATTTACGATTTTATTTAAGAATTTAATCGAATTTTTTTTTTTTTTATATATTTCTTTCCTTTTCATGACGATTTTTCTATTTTTAAAATTCAATAGAAAAGAAAGTTTTTGATTTGTTAGGAAATTCTTTGAATAAACTATTCTATTGAAGCAAAGTTGCAGCTTTTTTTAAATACATTGCAAGAGTTAACTTCATTGTTAAATTTTATAATAATATCATAGCAATTAATGTGTTTTTAATCACGAATAATGCTTATTTATGTTAATTATTTAATATTAATGATGATCATTTAACTTATTTTTACAGCATATACGGTGATGATGATGATGATGATCACATCATCATCTGCATCTAGTTCAGGGCCTCACAATTTACACGTGTTATTATTTGCTAGAGAGGAAGGACCTTGTACCGCAGGGCCAATTTCTTTTATATTTTAAACTGATATTCACTTTCTAATACAAAGAAAACACAAACAATTATTACTTTTATATAACAATCATTACAATGTTATGTTATTGCATGGCATTAATTATAATGAAAGAATACCCCCATTAAAAAAGGGTAATGTAATTAAAGCTCTCTACAATTATTGAATGTACGGGATGAGTTTAATTGCATTACAGTTAAGAAAAGAAGTATTAATTTTCATTACTTTCGGCAAAAATAAAGAAGGGTGGAAGAAAAAAAAATAAACCAGTCTTTGGCTTTCTAGCAATAAACAACTTTGGGATAATTTTAATTTACACTGAAGCAATTTAATCTAATAGCTAATTTACCTATTTACAAAAGTTTTATACGTTAAATAACGTTATATTGAGGTAAAACTAGTAGAATTTAATTGCATTCAATTTAACAAAGTGTTTACCTAAGAAACAAAATTAAAAGAAAAACTAAAGTAAAAATAAAATAAATAATGGAGAACCGTCATGAATAATTTACGTATCTCATTAAGGAAAGAAATTATAGAAAATTAACTTGTATACTTTAAATAAAAAGTATACAATTGAATTTTGATGCTGGAGAGCATGCATATTTATCATACACGAAAACAGCATTAAGAATTTTTATTATAATTTATAAATCTAATTATTTTGATTAAGTTATAATTATGTTTGCCATTGTTTTTTTACTGCTCGAAATACGTATTTTTTCAGCACTTTAAAGGGAAATATTGTCAATTTTTTTAAATGTAAAATTAACTGAAATTTTCAATATCATCTTCTAAATTTAATAATTTTAAAAGTTTTGGCAGCTGCAAGAAATTAAATTTAAAATTGTCTTTGACTTTTTTTACTCGTAGTTTAAAAAATACAAGTAAAAAAAATATATAACAAATAGAGTAAAATATAAAAATTAAACGAATAAATTCTTGTAAATACAAAAATCACAATTTAAAGAACACAAAAATCTGTTGTTTGAAATAATACAAAATCACACTTTAAGAACGTGAGAATAAACACTATTTTTGATAGTACAGAAGACAAATGTGTGTGTGTATAAGATTCTTGTACACACTCACACATGAATTCTCTCTCTCGCTTACTCTTTCTCTCAAACTCATTTACACTTTTTTACTGTCTTTCTCATTCTCTGTGTGTATTAAAACATAATCTTTAATACTTTCTCCCCCATAGAGTTTTGTCATCAATTTTTAGTTATTTTAATCAAATAAGAATTTGTGTATTGTTTACGGTACATAATTTCATATTACAAAAAAAACATTTTTATTAAAAATACAGTACATACGAAAATTTTTATTTTACTTATACATAAAATCTTACGAGAACACCTCAAACTTTGAAGATAACATCAGCTTTCAATACACTTTTATGTACTATAGTTGATAAATTTCAAAAATAGAATAATTCAACTTGAAGAATGGTGTCATTCAGTAGGATATCGTAAAAATTCCCGATTGATCTTGAAATATATTCGAAAATACACGTAAAATCCTTATCAAAAAGCGTATAAATATTTGAAAATCTATTATAAATAGTCTATTATTGAAGAAAATAACACACAAAAGTGTATAAATTTCGTATTGACGAAGAGCGTTGGAATTTCCTTCTATCCCAAGGAATTTACTTTTTTTGCTTTAAAATTTATATTATCATTTCAAAATGTATAATTCAAGAATAAACCTGTAAAGTAGATCATAATATAAGAAATTCAATCTATAAAATGTACCTTTTGCCTATAATTTGAAGGAACACACTCATTGAATTTTGTAGAAGTGTTATAGGCCTATATGAGTGTGTGGCCATCGGTTAAAAGAGGACCTCCAAGGATTTTTACAGTTTTGGACTCGTGAATCCTTGAAACGTGTTGCTGTGTGTATGTTAGAAGACGATTTTTACTCACCCACTTTGAAGCTCAACAACTCTTGTGCCCTTTGGAGAAAATTTCTGAAATTTTGTGTGTGTTAGAGGCATTGATGCTATTAAATTTTGGTGGTTAAAGGTCAAGGAGTGATGAGATGGAGGAGTAATATGTCGGATTTAATGAAGAATTTAGCTTTTTGCCATTTTATAATAATTACTAACACAAGAAATTTTTAAATATAATCTCGTAAAAGATGGTCACACACACAAATATAAATGTTTTGCCAGGAAAGTTACGTAACTCTTTGCTTGATTTTTCTTATGTTAGGCTGTATATTACAGCATATACGGTGATGATGATGATGATGATCACATCATCATCTGCATCTAGTTCAGGGCCTCACAATTTACACGTGTTATTATTTGCTAGAGAGGAAGGACCTTGTACCGCAGGGCCAATTTCTTTTATATTTTAAACTGATATTCACTTTCTNTTTGGAGAAAATTTCTGAAATTTTTTGTGTGTTAGAGGCATTGATGCTATTAAATTTTAGTGGTTAAAGGTCAAGGAGTGATGAGATGGAGGAGTAATATGTCGGATTTAATGAAGAATTTAGCTTTTTGCCATTTTATAATAATTACTAACACAAGAAAGTTTAAATAAAATCTCGTAAAAGATGGTCCCACATACAAATATAAATGTTTTGCCAGGAAAGTTACGTAACTCTTTGCTTGATTTTTCTTATGTTAGGCTGTATATTGTACTGTACATCTTAATACTAAAATATATATATACATACATATCTTGCAAATTTAAACCTTAATAAATCATATCTTTTTTGTCGAATATCTCTGAAATTTTGTCGGGAGGTCAATGTATTAGGGTTATTGACGCTATTAAATTTTGATGGTTAAAGGTCAAGAGGGTGGGAAGATAGAGGGGATCATACGTCGGACTTAACGAAGATTTCACTCATAATTACTATTTACAATTTCTCTATAAAACCCATCTCTTACCTTCTAAAATTAAGCTTTTAATAAAATTTCGTAACAGATAGCGTCACACACAATTTTGACTTATTTAGCCGGGAAAGTTACGCAACTCGTTACTTGATTTTTAACGTTGAAATTATTTAATATTGTAAAATTTTAACAAATTGAAGAAGCTGAATTGCTGTAAAATACATTAGGAANTTTAAATGTATATTAAACCAATAAATATATTAAATTCTTAGATATAACTTTATTTATTATTATTTTTTTTTAATTTAGCTCCAAAAATCACAACACTACCTACTGACATTCCTATCGTAATTGGAAGTCAAGCAGCACTTTACTGTGAAGCTATCGGGTGGCCACTGCCAAATATCGAATGGAAAAAGGAATCAGGAAATATATTTAATGATTTACCTGGTAAGAATTTGAAATATTTCAATTTAAACTCGAGGTTTTGGTACATTGTGTACGATAAATATAATATCTTTCATCTTGATGTTACCATAAGAACAATTAAGTAGTTCTTAGGATATTCTAGTACTTGTAAGTAATAGTATAAAGTATTGTGTACATAGTATATATAAAAAGGTTATTGTTAGCAAACTTTTATTATCTCCATATAAACACTAGAAGAAGAAGAAGAAGCAAACTTTAATGTATATGTTTGTGCGTTGTTTAGGCGTGTTTGGGTATACGGGAAAGTTATGCAACTCGTTACTTGATTTTTAACGTTGAAATTATTTAATATTGTAAAATTTTAACAAATTGAAGAAGCTGAATTGCTGTAAAATACATTAGGAATTCAGCTTTACTTTAAATTGACTATAATAAATTATATAGGGTCACGCATTTTAGGGGGTGGGAAATTAACATTCTTGAATAATTCTATTCATGACTATACGTTGAAAACTTGAAAGTGATAGTCTACAATAACATTACCTTGCAAATTTTTAGCTGAAATAGTATAATTAAGCTGTGTTTTTCTTACTAATTCAACTGTTTATCCTTAGAAAGCACAATTTTATCAAATAATTACTGTTGTCACTTGAAAAGTACTTTACTTAGAAAGCAATTAGTTTGATATTATAATAAAATTTCATATAAATCATATGTTTACAGTACACATCACAAGGGTTATGCATTAAATATCTATATAGATCCAATTGAAAATGTAATTATTTCCTATAACTAGTTACATTAACTAAATTTACAATTGTTTTTATTGTAACACTTTTGTTATTTTAGCTGCATTAGTTGTGATTTAACAAGATAAATTGACTATAAATAATCTTGTTTATCTCTATAACTAATCTAATTATATTATATACACCATAGTCGTTCTAGTGTTAGGTATAGTGTGTCTCGTTATATTGGCTGCGATTGCATCAAGTATGATTATTCTTGTTATATCTGATGATATTAGTTACAGTATCAGTCTAGAAAGTAGACTGATACAAATCAAACATAATTAGAAAGAAATAAAGAAGGATATCGAATGTGTATTTTGTTTATTGTATTGTTAGTTACACGGTTTTTATATAAGGGATTTCTATTGTTAAAGGGGATGATAGTCTTTAGTATCCTGACTTTACAGTTTAAAATAAATATTCTCATACCGCTGTTAGGGATCCAAATCATGCGGGTGTACAAAAAAAAATCAGACAAGTGATAAATAAAGAAGGGGGGAAGAAAAAAAAAATAAACCAGTCTTTGGCTTTNAATGTAATAAAAAATATATTAATTTATCCCGTGTTGTACTTCAGAAGTTAATTTAGTATCAAAAACGTAAAATATTTGAGTAGCCCAAGACATGGCCAAAGATTACAGCGCCACAGCACTGGCGAAAATTTAAATTTGTCGACTGAAATTCCTTCGGATAACCGACGTTTTGTATAACCGACCTTCGGATAAACGACGCTCTACTGTAATACAATTTTCTATTTTTTATTTTCCAATTTAATATTTTTACTTGAGTAACTTCTGACAGAATTTAAATATGTCTTTGACAATTTTATTTACAATAGTTGAAGAATTTCTTCATATATGTGATATTAAGGAAACATTCAAAACTTGAAAGTTGCATTTCTACTTTTCCAAAAGCAAAAAAATGAATGTATTTCATATCACGTATTGAAACTATTTCTTCATTCTTAAACGTTTTTTTTTCTTTTGTTTTCATCTTTTATTTGAAGATGCACATTCAGAAAACACATGCATATTGAGTTAATATTTTTACAATTTAACCGGTTAAAATAATTACAAAAAAAAGTAAATTATGTTTTTCTTTTTTAAATTACTCTTGTTTCTATAATAATAATAATAATAATCATTTATTAGTCATATTAGGCAAAAGCCTGTTATTACAGGGAGTTATAACATAGAATGGACATTGATCATAGTCACGATTATACATTCCAATGTTTATCAGTTAGTATTACTATATACAATGTCAGGTCAATTCAATTTCATTTATCCTTTTAGGATTGATTACAAAAGGTTTTTATATAATTATATAATTTATAAATCATAGCAATATTTGCACCCTGGAAGAAACAATACATTTGATTTTCTTCTGTGATGAAATTTAATTGTTTCAAATCCATTTTAATTCTTAGATCGTAGCCTGTTTTACATTCGCAGAAAACGTGATATTTTGTAAATAATTCCTGACATCTTGGGCAATTACTTTTGGAAATTTCATATATTCTATTATTAATTAAAATCATATTGCTATTTAATCTTAGTTGAATGAAAAACTTCTTGACTGTAAACGACATATTAGATAGTATATAATTGTTATTGAAAGGGTAATTTAGCAATATTTTATACCATTTAGGCTCTCTTCTCTTGTGTATTTCTTCAATATCTTGAGCTAATGAGATTTCCAATGCATTATGTATAAGTTGTTTTCTTATAAGGTCGCTAATTTCTGAATTTTCTAGTATTGGAGATATAGAAACTCCGTATTCATTGATTATGTTCTTCATTTGACTAATCCAGGTATTTTTTTGGGGTTTTTGACACATTTTTTTATACAGCAAATATAATAGTTTTGTTGAAAGATTATTATTGTCTCTGATCTTATATAGAAAATTAACGAATCTTTTGATAAAAAAAGGAGCCAATCTAAATCTGCTGAGTTCAATTCTAAGAGCATAACCAGCAATATTGTATTCCAATGTAAACAATTTTCGAATAAACTTATTTTGAATGGATTCAAGTTTCTTATAATTGGTTAGACTCCAAATAGGTGAGGCGTAGGATATCGCATTAAAAATTATAGAAGTAAATAGTCTAAAATGACTAAATATATTTTTAAGCTTAATATGTGTACAAAGTTTCATCATATTATTAATCAGACAGTTTGATTTGTGAACGACTTTTTTATATTGCTTTTCAAAAGTTATTGTAGGGGTCAGTATAATTCCCAAAAATTTTATCTCTTGTACTATCTCTAATTGTACTTTGTTCATCGAAAATGATGTGCTTTTTTTTGCAAGTTTGGATCCATTACGAAATATCA